CTTCTTGTTTTAGGTAGATTCTAAAAAGCATCATATTTCTCATTGAACCATCCCTTGTCCGGAGCAGGGTTTCTCGTAAACGATTTTGTAATAGTGATATCCTATCTTAACCAGTAAGAATTTTCTTCTAAGTGCTCTGTATAAAAATTCAACTATAAATTATATGGTCAAAGTTATCGTTATTTTTGGTTTATACTCCTATTGAATGTCATTAACATGGAACATCTAGAAGACTTGCTCGTTTTTGATTTTTCAAAAGAGTATGCCAGTAGAACTTTCTTTTCTCAGAGATTGAATGTTTTAATGAAGTATTTGAAGTATATTTTTGTAGATTTCGATGTTTCCCCTTTCTATGTTATTTTTTATGTGTATATACTACCCGAGGTGATACACTTTCGTCTCTTAGTGTATAGATAACCATAACGTTCTTCTAAAAATCCCAATTAATTGAAAAACAGGCTGCGAAAGTGTGTGAAAATTCCAAGCTTCGAGAGCATATATTGGAAACGTTTCAAATTCAAAAAAGATGTTAAGTCCTAAATTAGAAGTTAGTGCATCATTTATTAATTGAGTGAAGCAATTTCTTCGTTTTGCTGTGCGTTTTATGCTAAAAACCATTATAGATGGAATCTCGATCTCGAACTTACAATATGATTTTTTGCAGCACTTTTGGTGCAACACGGTCTATTTAAGCCTTAATTACTACCCATTAGTAAGAGAAGCAATGATTAAATAATTAATAGTAATTTCCGGACGAAATACGGGGGATATTTTAAAACTGGTTTCATTTTTAAAATCTTAATTATTCTGAATGGATAACAAGAAAGAAAAGTCGTTTGAATTCCCATAAAAGTGAGCCAACATGGTATAAGGCAACTATCGGCAGTTATAGGGAGAGCATCAATTTAATTAATGTCATTAAAATTGCTGTTTAGGAAAGCGATAAAAGCGGGAACGGAACATCAACAGTTCGTCGAATAGCAACTAAAACTAATAGGATGAGAGTATATCTAATTTAGTAATTTTCTTCCAATTTGTTACTTTAAAGAATGAATCGTATGCAATTAAAAATTTTAGGTCCTGAGCCCTGTTAGTTTCGGTAATAAATAGCAACCAAAAATTAGAGAATTAATTAAGCGACAAAGGACCTCTTGACGCCCCCAATAGCAAAGTCTAATACATCCCCGCCTAGATCTGACACTTTATATTTTTGGTTCAGGTCGATTTACTCAGAAATGCTGACACGGGGTTGTTTATACTATGTCCCATATATAATTCGAATCGAACCGTATCGATCGCTAACAGCGGCGATTCCTGGAAAAGGGAATTTTTTTTTGTGGTAAAGCGGACGGAGAATTGTAATTTAATTTGAACCAATCAGGGCGATTCGGCCTCAAGGAATTCAAAGTTAATTGGAGATTTTGGGGCGCGTGGTAAAATTCGGGCGTGTCAAAAGGAAAATCACAGGGGGATAGTTTGAAAGTATAAAGAGGAGAATTATCGCGGCGATCGTGGAAGTCACCACGCCGCCGATAATATAGGTTTTGCTTAATTTTTCCGGTGAAGTACAGACGCCGGGAACTATTTGGTGAATGTCAGAAGGTGGCACATCGCGAAGGCGCTACCCTGTACCTAAATTAAATTGTTAAGTTCCGCGTCCGGCAAAGGGTTTTGGTACGGGTCGAGGTATAAATAAATTGGTTAAGAAGTGATTAGTAAAGGGCGGTCGATACGGTGAGAATCGGTGATTTTAGTGCGGTAAAGGTGCTCACTGGAAATCGTTTCGAGCATAAGCAATAAGTGTCGACTTTTTCCCCGGACCACCGGGGTAACCACTATTTACTTGCCCATGATCACACCGACAATAGGCAACGCATTGTATTTCATCGTAACCAAACGACGCGACGGGCCCAGAAGATAACGCGAGTTAAGAGGTCAACCAATTCGCTGAGCCCAACTGCAGGATTGGTCAAGGTTAGTTATAAGTTCGTTATTCAGTTCATGTCTGTAGATTTACGTAGGATTAGGTATGTGTATATTTCGTTAATAGGTGGATTTTTTGCTTTATAATAAGAGTTTCAACGGTAGGGTGGCCACCTATTTTTTTTTTATTATATCTCACTAGGAGGTATTTCTAGCAAATAGAGTGTTTTTTTTTGTAAGAAATCCTGGAAAGGAAAAGCCTATTCGGTGACCAATTCGTATTTTAATTGTCAGTCAATATACTGGTTAATTTTGCCTAGTGTTTGTTGGTTTTTTTTTGAACAAGTAAATATACCCACCTAGAAGGAGTTTAAAGGAGTTCGTACGACGAATCCGGGAGAGGTTTGCAGTAAGCATCCCGGAAAGCAAGAGGGATTGTAGTGTATCTGAGCTAGTCGATGGTAATAAATATAATAGTAATTGTTGCATCCCACTAAATCTGACAAAAGAACGCAAAATTTAAGTTCCAAGTCCCAATAAAGAATTACAACCCTTTAAGGGAATTAAGCCCCAAAAACAAACAACCCGTTACAGTCAAAGTTTCAAGTTTCAAGTTTCATCATAAAGGTAAAATTTGTTTAGTTGTGCACCTCAACATGGACATTGAACATGAATGGAAAAGAAAGTCTCTTTATTACCACCGAATGTCAGAAACACTTGCACCCGGCGTACTTTAGTCCAGGGTAATTTAGTGGGACAGTTGCGCCTTCATAACAGATCTTTGTTATTCAGAATTAATTATGGTTAATTTGCACATAGGTATGTAATTAGAGTTGGGCTTTGCGATTAGTGTCAATTTTGTTTCTACATTAAATTTCAAGATAAAGACTGACGTCTTTCCCAGAATTAGAGAGAAGCGGACAACAAAATACTTGCCACCAAAGCCTTGGATATGGAATAGAGAATGTAATTTCTTAAATACAGTTTGAACCAAACTGATACATATTACATTATAATCACTTAATTGGAACAAAAGTTTACTTATTTGCTCTATACATAATATATCTTCATTGAATATCGGTACTGATTTTGTAGAACTACAAACTTAAAAGAAATGGGTGAAATCAAAATACCCGTCGGTGAAATAGAAATCATTACAAACACAAAAGGAAAACTATGCGCGATTTATAACCGCTTTACATATAGAGCGAAACGTGAAAAAGAAGAATGCATAACGTGATTGTGCGTTAACAAAGAGAAGGAAAAGGGTAGACAGTGTTTATACAAAGAACTCCATTGTTGTTAACACGAAAGGTAACCAAAGTTATTTATTATTCGATTTAACTTGTTAATTTTGCATCAAAATAGGATAAGAGCTCCTGCAACAAGGAAAACATTTCTTCTGTAGCCTGTAGGATTTTAAATTTTACACAAACACAACGGTTCCAGTTGTGTATGCTCTCTTGCAAGATAAAAGGACTACCTATGCAAACTCACCACTTAATTTTTTATGATCAATGAAAAAATATTACAAGGGAAAGGTTAAAAGTTCTCGACCTGGCAATGAAAGATCGCGATTTTCAGTTAGGAAATAGATATTTGTTCAACTAGTTTTGAAAATGATACTTTTTCATGAATGTTCAGTTTTATAAGCGAAAAAAGACACTTTCAAAACGTGTTGAACAATGTACACGAATTTTGGTGCGCATATGTGATCCTTAATAACCCATAATATAATTGAACACCTCGGACCCCAGGCCCAGGGATTGTAGGTCGCCCGAGGGTTAAATATAGAGTAATGCCTGAGGTGCATGCAAAATTGTAATGTATTTCCAATATACAAATGATCATTATTGTTTGAAATCTGTCGTATTTAAAACGCAATCGGCGAACATAGACGAACTAAGACAAAATAATTCAAGAATGTCGCAATATTGCAAAAACAACATTTGAAAAGGTTCGACAAGAGTTTGGGAATAGATTATACTACTGTCTTACCAATAACGGAAACCATTTTGAACATTTATTGAAATGAAAATGTATCATATTAGCTTATTTTTTTAATTTGCACGATAATTACTAACCTAAATGTAATGCTATTTGGTATGGTTGAAAAGCATTTTTTCAGAGCTTTCCAACGACGTATCACACATGGGGGGTCACTATTTAAGATTTAAAAGCTGTGGTGGCTGGGGCGCAGGGGGTTGGAGGGGGTGCGTCGCCAACTATGTCATTGTGATTCCCCCTCCGAATTACCGAAACGGATTTTGATTTTTTTAAATATCTGGTTTATTTACTAAGACATGGGGGGTGGTACGTTTTCAAATTGCCACCCTGTATATGTGTACAAAGGAAAATAAGTTATGGCATAAATATTCTTATAAATAAGAAACTTTTTCATTGTGCAGTCTGCGCAAGCGCGCACCTCAATCTAGAGTCTGCGATGTGCTTGCCTTTACTAGAAGAGAGTTAAAATTTAAAAAAAAAACTACAAATAAGGAAGTTAACATTGCGTAGTTTGCCTCTATCAATTCTTCCTCCATTTTTACTAGCTCGTGACAGGGCGAATATCGGAACTTGCAGATATTCGAGTTGTGCGATCACGCCTTGGGGATGTAACGTACTTGTATTTGAACTAAATGCTGGTTTTTGAGTGAGATTAAAAAAGTGAAGTGTTCCCCACGTGCGTAAGTTTGGTTAGTTTATGGAATTTTATTGTTCCACTTTATTTTGGGAATTTGGGGAAAGCGCGAATACATCAATCATGGACACATCAGATCAATTATTGTTCATTCATTCAAGCTGTCGTGTATACCAGATAAATCGCATGTGAATGCGAACACTAAACATGAAATTGCTAATGCAGTCGTACATATCAAAAACATTTGTTAATTATTGTACCTGTAAATTTTACAGGAGGAAAAAATGTGAAATAATCACCACCTCTATTATCAACACTAATTAGGGAACGGCCATGTATGTTTAATGAACTAGTGCTACTCCAGCAAATGAAAACTCTCCTACATTTCTGCGTTCATTTGTGGTTTATCCATAACTTGCAGGCTCAAATCAGCACGTTTTACAAAATATGTATATTAATTTTACATTTAATTACAATTGTTTTTTGAGTCTACACTTTAAGCTGCTTTCAAACAAATTTCAAATGAAACAGTTATTATTTAACTTCCTTTATTGGGAGATTTTTCATTTTAGTCAAAGGGAAAAGCGAATTCTGTCCACTTAACGTGGATGTGGTGTGCCTATGTCTCTGTCACAGAAATAATGTATTATTCAGACTCATAACAGTATTTTTTTAAATAGTGAAAATAAAGCTTTTGACGAGGGTCGGTGGTTAGGAACAATAATTCATTAAAATTTCAAGACAATACTACTAAAACTTCAAATGGTCGTTGTTCATCTTGGACTTATTTACTAACTTAGTAGCAGACACTATCCACAAGGAATCAAACTATGCGCCCTTGCACGCACCAATTGCCTTCATAAGGTCTTTCAACTTTTCAAATTGGTGCGCATCCGAAGCGAACAACGGCAGATGACGGCATCGATCGAACCATCTTTTCAAACATGGATAAGCGACAGGATCTATCGGTACATGATAAACTAAGCAAGTTAGACTTGTATAGCAGCAGAAGTCTGCAAGTGTGACGTGGTCTAAAGCAATCCATTCTTTGCCCTTCAACATCTTTTCGAGAAAGTCGTAAGCCTCGCCAACGTCTTCGCGCATCTTTGGTGTTAAACTAGTAACTTCTTTGGAGATGTACGCGAACTAGAAAAACACTAAAATTGTGCATTAATTAGGAGGTCTTACGTTAATGCGTTTTAGAAGAGGAAACAGAACTCCCAAGTCAAATGCGAACTTTTGATCTACAAGTGCACGCTGGAATAGATCTTTGGGATACAATGAGTCGTCTTTTGCAAATTTTCCAACTAAGTAAGACATCATCGCGTGACTGTCGCAGAGAATCTTTCCATTATCGTCCATAGTAGGAACTGTATGCAATGGATTCATCTAAAATTTGGCCGGTGGGAAAAATGGAAGTAATCGATCGACTTACCGCTAAATACTCGGGCGTTTTGTGTTCGCCTTTAAAAAAGTTAATGTCACATTCGACGAGGTGAACACCTAGAGCCTTCGCAGTGAGAAGAACGGCCCGAACCGGGGGACTTCCGTCGCATTTATACAATTTTATTGGAGCCATCTTTGTCAAAACACTGAACGCGGAGCTTCGCTGCGGTTATATACCTACCTACCAAGTAAATAAAAACGAATATCAATGACTTGATATTTTCATATCATACGGTACCTACCGATTATAAAGGGATTGACAATTCATGTTTGTAAACAAGTTACATGTACTTATCTCATGCAACGTACTGATTATGTAGGCGTAGTTCGCGTTTGACATTTTTAAGTCTAAATGGAAAACTTTCAACCTTCACTGGTTTCAATGCCATCTTTATTCAGTCTCAAATGCGGTATGGGCTTTCGTTCCAAACCCAAATGAATTATTGAAGGTGCAGTAAGACTGAAATATTTCCAAATAGTTTACAAATTAATCCAGATGGGATGTGTTAAAGTGGTGGGACAAGAAACAAACGCAGTGTATCTAAGGGTAACCACATTTCACGTTGAATAAAGAGTATATTATATATTAAAAAAAATTTGTACCAAAATCAAAATCAACCTCTATGTTCTTTTCGAATCGAAGTTATGCAAAAAATAGAAATTTCACATTTTTGAAGTAATTTGGATTGAGAAAAAATAATGGAGTTGTTTTCCTGATTTGTCCTTTTTCCAGATGTTCTAGTACTAGATAAATTGGATAGCCGTTTTTCTCTAATAAACAAAAAATAAAAAATTCAAGCTGCCGCTTAATTTGGAAGGCCGCTGTTGTGTGCAGCTGTTTTTGCAGCGCTTCGTAATTAGAACCCCTTTAAGGCGGGAACGGCATCGTATATAATCTTGAAACTAATTTCGCGTGAAAAGAAAACTATCCTTTGTGTATTTCTTTTTTGTTTTATTTGTTCCTCTTAAATAAGACGAGATTACTGAAACCGGTCTTACTGTACTCCATTAATGACCCGGTTATCACTAAAAGTACTTGCGGCGTATCTAATATCGGTATTTACGGGGTTAATTTCCTTTCAGGGCATGAATTTATTGTTGACATCCTGAGTGGAGGAGGTGATACGCTTGAGAATGTATTATGTCTCCACACTTTATTCTATTGCTAAGGGCCGTACTTCATATCTAAGCTTGTATAACGAGCGCTTAGCAATGACTTTGAACATAATTCATAATATGCAAAGGTGATTAGGCACTAGGCGTCATATTCACTACCACACCACATGTATTTCGATTCCGTAAGATTATTTTATCTACGCAAAGATTACGATTGACTATAGACAATTTGAAAACGTTAATTAGAGAGGCGTTTATTAAATAATGAGTACAAATTAGTTATGACAGTCTTGAGTGCAGTAAGGTTTGAATTTATGCTCGAGGGCATAGAAGAACACTGAAATTCAAGTTGGAATTGAAACACTTCAGTGGAGAATTTGCATTTTGCAAAGATTAGATCCATTTAGGTGATTTTGTTGACATCTAAAGGCGTGAAGGTTTCAAAAAGCATGGCATGGCGCAAAGTTGGCTACAGTGCCTCTATAGAGACAGTGCCGTCATACGGTGGTGTTATTTTCTATTGGTAGTTGGGAGATTCGCCATGCTACAGTGAAACGTATAAAAATAGTGTGACTCCATGTCGGCCGTGTTTCTTTCCAATTTATTATTGAGCTGATTTTGATATGGTTGTCGAAATTATACTTGCACTTGGAATCCCATCTCATCAGCCAATCACCTTTGTTTCTCTTCCAAATTCAGATTTTAACATCATTAGATTAAGATCAGCGTTTGGTTTGACACTTCGCTTAGATCTTGGGACACTGATATGGTGTGCGGTAAATTCGCCCCGGGAGACTCGCTGCGGTAAATTCGCCCCCGGCATATTCGCCCCCAAGTAAATTCGCCTCCGGAGTATTCGCCCCCGGAATATTCGCCCCGACAAATTCGCCCTCGGAATATTCGCCCCGACAAATTCGCCCCCGTAGCATTCGCCCCATAACATTTATTAACCCTCGGAAGTAATAGGTTGGTTTAAATTAATTAAATAAATATTTGCAAAAATTACGATATTTGGAACTCAATACGGCGACAACTCGAAATTGTTCGTATTGAATCGTCTCTCACCTGTAAAAGGCTGATTCAACGGTTCAACGTCAACCGTATGTTTACAATACTCGTACATTTTACAACAAATTGCGTTTACAAAGGAGTCTAATTACTTATGGATGTATTGAAATATTCATGAACTATTTATGGATGTATTGAAATGTTTTTGGCATCAATGTATAAACAAAGGATGATTCTTTCTTTAGACTTACATTTGAAAATTGGTCCAGATTTGATGTAAATTTGTGTTGAAAAACACCAACATTGATGAAGTTTGCTGAAGTATCAAATCATAATTAAAATAATCTAAAAAAAAATCTAACTCGAAACATCCCATTTCTTTAAAATATAAAAAAAAAGTTTGCTTATATATTTATTAGTTAAGTAGCAATTAGTCTGCTACGGTACTCTTGTACTCGTTCCAAATTCAGCCCGTCGGATCAGCCTTAAATTTGAGAATTTTTGTAAAAAATGTGCAAATGCCATAAAAGTTTTAAAATGTCCAAAGTATCCACTTGAGATCAAAAAATGTTGAACGTTGACCATTTACCAAAAATTTAGACCTTAAAAAGACAATGAATTTAGTATATACTTTGTGTCCTCCTACTATTATGTATAAAAATCACAATACAGACACGTATTTATTACTGATGCCATAAGGAGTTCCTTTTTTGCTGTTGTCAGTTTGATTTTCAGATTTTTGTATTTACGAAAGGTGAAATATTGTGTTTGATTTACAATAAAATAAAAATAATACAAAACTTACCAGCACCACGTGAAACCGATCTTCTTCAATACTCAAAACTATTTTTTCACACACCGTAGAATTAAAATCGTTAACCAAAAATCAAAGTTCGTATTCGCGCCAAAACATAACAAGTAGGAACATAAAAAGTTTCAAAACCACCACCAATGACCAAACGAGCCATCAAACGTTCTGTTAGGAAGAAATTAAGAAGCTAACAACTCAGTCAATCAAAAATGTCATTTAAATTAGATTATATATTTCCTTCTTTTGTAATACAAGAGTTAAGGTGGATTTTTCATATGTCATGTCTGAAATAATAGAAGTCATTAAGTCATTGTGAATACAGGATTTATTTCCATTGGATGTCAAATCCTTTGCAAATCACCCTTACTTTATTCAACCTTATCTGAATTACCTATTCATATTTTAGTTAACAGGTATTTGAGTGCTATTATTCTACCCCCTTTATGTAGGTATACACAGTTATTAAAAAAAAATTAAAATTAAACAAAATTCATTTTATGAACTGCTGGCCCTGTTACCTCCGAGGATTAATAAATCTTATGGGGCGAATCCTACGGCAGCGGAATCGCCGAGGGCGAATCTTCCAGGAGCGAATTTGTCGGGGGCGAACTTGTCGTAGGCGAATTTTCCGGGGTGAATCTTACTGGAGCGAATCTTACGGGGCGAATAGTCCGGGGGCGAATTTACTTGGGGGCGAGTTTTCTTGGGGACGTTTATTCCTGGAGCGAATTTTCAGGGGCGAATCATGCGAAGTATAAGCATATGCTCCCTTTTATTCATATGGGCCAGTGACATACGAGTATATATCTTCCAAGTAGGTTCTAAAAGGGTTGTGTTAATATTTGTGAAGTACGTGGTATTTCGAGTGGTATTTACACCTCCACAGTGTTAACTCCCGGGAGAAAGTTTGCTAGTCTATTTCCCGCCATTAGGTAGCGCACGTAAAACGCAAGCATTGATCGCAAGAGCATAGGCATAATAGGAATTTCTATACCTGAAGTTCGAGGATATGTTCTAAGAAGTGTAATGGAACTCTCTGAGGCACTTTCTAAAATGTGCGTAAGACTTTGAATCCATTGCTTCGGCTTCTTCAACATTATTATCATAATACCTTCTATACATGTCATATTGGCTGTGTTGTAATGTGAAATTTGTAATTGTGACTTTTGGCATGATATTGAGCGTAATCCCGAGAAACAATGTAAAACTCCATGTATGGTTTAAATGGAACAAACCTAGAGGGAAACAAGTACCATTTTTCGTACACCAAAAATTCAAATTCAAATTAATTCCCGTTCTTGCAAAGTAATATACGTTAATTCAAATTAATTAACGTTAATTCGATAACTCAAAGTAACTCAGAGTCGTCAAGGTACTCACCCCTTTTCTTAATTTTTTCTTATTTTATTTGTATCACTAAAAATAGTTTGTACGTTCATCATTTTTAAAATAACAATGCACTGCTATCTTAACATTCCTAAAACAAGACCAGACTTGAAACTTTACATCTTTTATGCGAGACGAGACGAAACTTCAGTTGGTCTTGTCTTGAATTTGTTCCGCAACTCCTGTGCGTAATTGCTTTAATGCCAGGATTGCGTAGAGCATAATCAAGAAGTCGTTTTCAGACTATCACTTCCATTTAAAATTGTTGGCACGAGAGTAGACGAGGAAGGTTTGATTGGCATAGGGTTGGTTTATACATAAAAATGTGCCCCTTTTGAAAAAAGTTAACGTTTTTCACGATTTTCATACAGTTTCAATGCCTCATGGTTTATTTATAGTAGCTCATTTTTAATGTTAATCGGTCACTTCAAAAACTTTCTTTTTTTTATTTAGTTATCAAAATAGAGCCGACAACGTCCATAAGTATTTCTTTATAATTTGCTCGAAATATACATAAATCCGCACAGAACTAAACCCAATTACGAAAGTCTCGCCTCGTCTCGCACACTACCAACCCGATCTCGTCTCATCTGGTCTCAACTCGTGTCTTCGACGAAAGTTTTGCAAAAGTCACGCAGTCCGTTGTACGTATAACTGGAGAACGATATTGATCTAAAATATTTTGGTAAAAGACATTGTTTGTAGTTTACTGTCCTCCACAAAATATCTCCTCCTGCCAATGCCTTTTATCCTCAATTTCTTGGTGCCAGGAATTCGAAGAATGCCTCTTGCGATCTAGGTCCCGTTGGTCTAATCATTAGACTCTAATGACACCGTTTCAAAGGCTGTTA